CTGTGGCTCCTTATAAAACCTGTTTCCTGTAGAGTTAGCGCCTCTCAGCTGGGGAGGAGAAGCTGGAGGGCTTGGCCCAGGTGTGCTCTCTGGACCTTCTCAATAATAACGTGCATGGGCCATCAATATTGATAACAATTTTCAATTTTGTTTAATTATTATTCTGTATGCAGTTAGATGATCAGTTCTACAGGCTTACAGTTTCCACAAGGGAGTATTTTCTATGCTTTTCAAGCCACTGTCTCAGTTACTCTTGAGTTTACAATACATTGTTTGAGGACAGGTTATACTTTAAATTTCCGAAGCAGTTTCCAAAAGTTTCTTAGGAAGCTCTTCAAAATAAATCAGCATCACGGCACTCGCCTTCCGGGTAGGGGGAACAGACACAAAAGATGACCAACACCGTTTATGAAGACGATGAAATGCAAGAATAAAAGGCCCCAACTGTTTGCAGCTTCCATTCAATTAACTTCTAATAACAGTAAAATCAAACAGAAAAATCAATCTCTTCATCTAGACTCTTTGTAAATTATTATATTTACTTTTAATCCCAGAACAAGACTGGACGTATTCCCAGGCTGATACGCAATTCCTCTGATTATAATGCTGTTTTGCCCTGTCCATTAATTATACAATGGAGCGGAAAACACCTAGAAAACTCAGTGTGCCTGGAAACTGCAAAGTGTACAAATCAAATTCAGGAAACTGCAGGCGCTCGCTGGCGTTCTCAGGAGTCAGGACACCTCAAGGATACAGCGTTTTAAGAGATTGTCGTATTAGAGGGGTGAGGAGGTGCTGCCTGTTCGAAAAGGCTCTGTGAGGTACGAGGCAGGCGGGTCTTTTCTCAAAGAAAATATATCTTAAAACGCACCTAATCAGGAACTTGTCCATCTTCCACAGGATATCCTACCAGATTCAGTGCACATCAGATCCCTCCTTAGCCACCGACTTCTGTCAGTTCTTCAGTCAGAGATGAACGATCCCTTTCCAGGCCAGGGAGGATTGGTCTATGATTTCATATCCTTTGTCTGCCTGGTCCTCTGGCACCTACCTGCAGTACCGCAAGTGGGGAGACCTTTCAAAGGACTTGTGAGCTGCACTGCTTTCATTTTGGAGAACTTGGAACGATAACACCCACTCTGATCATGAGTCCATTCAAAAAAATTACTTTGGGTTATTATTCCAGCAAGTAGTGTAAAAAAGGGCAAGAGCATGGAGCTGTGTCAATTATTCAGAAAGTTAACGCAACAGCTTCCAGTGCCACAGTTTCTTAACCTCTCTGGCACTGCTGGCCAACGACAGGCACGGGGCTTCTGCACGCAGAAAAGTAACGTAGCAGCAGTGGTACTGCTGCAGCGTAGTGCGTGGGATTCCCACCCTCCTTGCTATGCCAGCTCAGCTCTGCTAGTTTGTGAAGACAGTAGTTCATCTTTTCTCTCCTTCTTTGAGGTTTTTAATAACCCCGTTAGTATCAGAGGCACTGGAGGTGCAAGAACTGAGACGGCTTCCCCAGGCCCTGAGTTGGAATAGCAGGATAATTCACGCTCCTAATCGTCTCCTTTCCCTTCTCTGTCATGTGTGCTGAGATAACCTACTCAACAGCTAAGCACAAATGTGATTTGGCTGCCACAGGACATGTAAACAGTTTCCATGATTAAACTGGAATACAATGTGGTAAACAAAGATTAACTCAAGAAGCTGATTAAACTTTTATACTTATCAGTAGATATCTGTCAGATAGTTCTGGCTTATGTTGCTCATTGAAAGCGATATGACACAGTATCAATTTTAAAATATGGAATAACAAATTGGCACAAAAATGTTAACAGTAAATTACTTCCTACACTAAAAATAAGTGATATCAGTTATGTCAAATCAATAAATTAGTATCAATATTGATTTGGATCCAATTATTTAATTAAGTAGTGAGATTAACAGAACAAGCTTTAGGATTCCACAAAATAAAACAGTCATTAATGCGACTGAACACCAACTTAAGAGCTTCACCAGATTTTGTCAGATCAGGCTTTGGAAATTAGTTAATTATTTAGACAGTTAAACTAAACCTCAAAACCAACTCACACTTCCCCCTTCGATTTCAGCTCTTTCATGGTGGTAAACTCCTTCCTTTCCAGATTAGACAGAACACTGCCTACGGGAACTGTTGACAGCCATTTGTGGCTGATGGCGGCAGAGATCTTTTTCTATCACCTTAATCCCATCATCCCCTGTTATTGCTTCCTGCAGCTGACTCCCCCGACTCGGTTGCATCAGATGAGCACACCCTTATCTGCCAGGTCCTTTCATGTTTTATTTCATTCTACCTAAAATTTCTTCTCAAGTATTTAATTATTTATTCCTATATCTAATCAAAAAATCTTGGTAGCCAACATTACCGACTTGTTACATTTTCAAAACGCTCTCTTAAGCGTCTCCACTTATATCCACTGTATTTAGGAGCAGTTCCTCACAGGCATATGCAAAGATGCCTCTGTTCTCCTTCAAGGCTCTTTAGTTACCGCATTTCCCAAAGAATGCCAAATTACGCTTTTGATGTGCCTACCACATGGACCAATATTGCCTAATAGTATTGCCCTGTTTAACTATATCTAGCTGTCCTCCCTTTTGGCGAGGCCTCTTTTGGGAAGGGACATCCCTTTGCTCTGATGCGTGGCACAGGACAAGCCCTATGCTTATGATTAAGTCCCCAAGGTTCTCTGTTAAAACAGCAGTGAAATAATAATAGCATAGACAAAGTATGAGCACTTAATATTTTAAATGAGACAGAGTTTAGGGTTATTTAAACTTAGAGTCCTTTCCTTCTGGTGACTGATAAGCGACTGAGGTCATAAC